GGTATTTTATTTTTATCTTTTATGGGAAGTATAAAATTGGACGAACTACATTTTAGCCCCTGGCTTTTGGTCCAATCTATCATAACCCCCCAAATTTTTGTAATACTACCGAGTAGTCCAATCTATCACGAGCAACCTTCACATGCTCCTATCCTTAAACAATTTTTTTGTCCTTCATTGGAATTCCTATTTCCTGTTGAAAACCTAATGGTTCATCAATTGTTGCAAGTTTTGTTCCTACGCATAATTTGGGACTTTTGATTATTGTTGTTAGAACAAATACCCGAGTGATGATCAACTACTGTTTTAGCTACATTTTGACTGAGATGCTCCTTTCATCTTTTAAAACTTCTTTCTTTCATTTGATGGTCATTCCACCATTCGGATTAGCCTATAATTTTCAAGCAAGAAAATCTATCATGACTTGTGTATCACAATGATCACATCTTAGTTTTTTTAAAAAAAGCCTTATCCCTCGTACTTATCATTCACCCAGGAATTTTTGCTAAAAATGTTCCTTTCCTCTTGAACATTATAGCTTAATCCCTTGTTGAATTATTAGACTGCTTATACTCATTCCAACTTGATCAATTTGATTTTAGAAATTGGTTTTCACAACAATTTCTTTTCTAAACTATTAAAATAACATCATAAGCTCTCTTGATACCAAGCATAAGCTCCACCGTTGAATTGTAATTGATCACAATTGTGTATACACCATTTAGTGTCAAAAACAAGCAAGGTTTATTTTTAGCTTCTCTAACACCTTAATTTTAGAAAACACAAAGGAATCCACCACAATCGCAATCCTCTAGTGGGTCAAGAAAATGATCTTTCTCCCACAACTTCTTTAAACCTTGAGGAATACACATCATTTGTCTAACCTCATTGAGAAATTGTGTAAATACATTTTTTTTCAGTTGATAAAGATAAGGATAAAGGCATCGTTCTATTTGGATCTCTTAACTCATCTAACCTTATAATGTCCTACGGTAAGAGTAACTTTATGAACTACGCTTTGTTTGATAAACCAATTAAGCACTTAAACTTATTAATTAAGTACTTAATTGATTAGCAGTGTTTGATAACACAATATCATAACAACTTAATTGATTAAGAACTTAATTTATTAAGAACTTAAATTTTAAGTGCGTTTGATAACTCAAAATAGGATGTCTTAATAAATTAAGTGGGTCTGAAATGCTAGTACAAATGTGAGTCTAAAAATAAGTAATAGGCCTATCACTTATGTCTGAACTGAATTCTTGAGACGATTTTTTTTCTATTTATTTATTTTTATGTTTATACTTTTGATATTAGATCTTGAAATATTTTTAGTAATCATGATGTCTAGTTCTAAATAAAAATTTATGCAAAATTATTTTTTATTTAATAAATAATTATTTTTATATAAAAATTCAAATCCATTAAATTCCATGATCAATATATATTTACCATAAAATATTAAAATATGATTTTTTTTTGGACAATGATGAAATATGACATTATTATTAACTGGAAAAATAATAACATAATAAAATTTAAATATTTTTATTACATTATTTTATAATAATATTATTATTTTTATCATCATAGTTTCATATACATCAATTGTTTTTTTAGATAAAATCATAAGTCGAGATACTTTAACTTTCTTTGTTCAGATTTCAGATTTCAGACATTTTATTCAGTGATCAGATTTTAGTTTCTATCAAATACGAGAAACTTAATCAGTTCAGCATTTATGATTCAGTACTCAGATTTCAGACTTCAAACCCAAATTAAGTTTTATCAAACGGGGCCTAAGTTGAAAATCAATTTGATCCAAATAAAATAAATAAAAGAAAATAAAATTACCCATCAAAGCCCATTGGGCTTGAGGACGTGTTAACTTTATGAAAGAAAGAAAATGCCCTCATGTTCCTTTGTCCCACATGGATGGAAGGAAACACTTGAACCCAACATATATACCTCATGTGTTACTCCGCTCATCACTAATTAGTTTTGTGGTGGAACCATGTGGACCTATATTTGAGCCTTTATTTGGGCCTTAAAGAATATTGCCTACCATTGTTACCAAATTGAAGCCATCAGTAATTATTGCCTACCATTGTTACCAAATTGAAGCCATCAGTAATTATTGCCTACCATTGTTACCAAATTGAAGCCATCAGTAATTCAGTATCGTCGAATTCTAACGTTTGCCTTGGTTTGTGGCTATCTGAGTAAGGATTGTGCCCACTCTGAAACCTTCTATAAATCGTAAGGACGTTAAAAAAAAATTTCTTTTTATGATCTTTGCAAGTCTGGAAATCCTATTGAATATTCCATAATTTGTACATTTATATTCTAGAACCTTCACATACGCACGCATCAAGCAGTACAAGTTGCTTAATCTCTGTTAATCAACTAATGCAAATTCAGCTAACTAAGCTAACTAATTTAGAATTAGTTAATTAAGCTATAAAGAAACACAAATTACACAAGTTTAACTATTTACACAAATGATCTTCTCACTTACAACATATTCAAGTTGTGGACTTAAAACTAACCTTTTATCGAAGTCAACGATTCTGATTCAACATGAATAGATCTTCATTAGCATCTTTCTTTTTTACGAATTCTACCGCAAGAAATTACCAAAGTAAGTAGACCCGTAGTTATAATGGAAGCTTAGGGGATAAAATCACATATCCTAAGATTCAAAAGTCAGAGCCTCATAAATACTGAATGCAGTAGAAAGTAATAATATAAATAGTAATAGTAATATAGCATGTATACAGATATTGAATACCTTTTATGCTAGGCTCTGGTAAACAGCATTTTTGGATATCGTCCTGCATGAGTGCATGCATTAAGTGAAAGTATACTTCATTGCAATAACTATAGTCAAAATTATAAATACATAATTACAACTGTCATCCACCTTTCTCCGATTACCTTTGTATACTACTGACTTTCGACACTCACACATTTAATAGCCTCAACATTTTTTATTTCTTGTAAGTTTTACCATTAAAACCTCTGGCCAAACATGCATGCCACTCTCTATATATTGCCCTCTCTTCTTCATGTTTAACCATCACTTATTTGTCGAAACAACTATTTACTAAGTTTACTGTCTGTCTATGGAATCGAAACCTCGTTTTGAAAATGTTTTTTCAAGTTTTTCTCAAATCACTAAAGCCATTGAAAGTAATCATTCCAACCCCAACATTGATTTGAGTTATCCATTGCAATTTGGTACAAGTTATGGTAACTTAATACCTGAGATACAGATATTGGTGATTGACAATGATAAAAAGTCTCTCGTTTCAACAACTAAGAAGCTTGAGCTATGTTCATATCAAGGTATATGAAAATCTTGATCCTGTATTTTTTAATTGCAAAATTGTATTTCTTTTTTTTCTCCTCCAATAAGAAAATAAATCTATCCAATTGCGTTTCAATTTATTTGTTTTCCCTTAAGTAAGTTTTGTCATGATTGTGAAATGTCAATTTTTCATGCTTGCTTAACCTCACAGTGGTTCTCATTCTTCTGGTTTTCTCTGATTGTTTATTAAATTTATTTTTTTTCCACCAATTTTGTATTGTGTTATTCTGGTTTCTACTTTTTTCTTTTATTGATTGCAGTATGGTTTTGTATTCAATTTTAAAATAATTTTTTTGATATATTATATTATCGACAAACTAATAGGATAAAGGCTAACAGTGCAAAATGATTTAATCAATCATAATTTATATGGTTAGTTTTTAACTTAAGCGCACGGGTGTGTTTATGAAAGTTCTTCTCTTATCAGGATAAATTTAACTAAAGATCAGACCTTGTTTTGCAAAACATTATATTTGTCTATGGAAGAAAATAGGAAAAAGGAGTAAACAAAAGTATGAAATTAGTTTAGAGTCAGTGGTTCGCACATTAAGGAGGAAAAATCCAATGTTATTTATTTCCCTCGGAGCGGTTATTAAATGAATGCATTTGAAGAGTTTTACCATAAATCTCACTACTATAATTGCCAAATGTCAACCCTCATTAAATTGTATAGCTGCAACTATTTATTTATTTTTATTTTTGAAAACAAATATCTTTATTTTTGTTTGTTTTCCCTTCCCAGTTTTAATTTATTTGACTTATAACTAAGTTGACTATTGTTCGATATTATTATTTAAGTCAATGAGTTGTCACACCTTAAATTGACTTTTACGCATGATAGCATCATATAGATGAAGAGGTAATCTTATCGGTAAGCTTACAAAATTTAGGAAACATAGCGATGGAAAATAATCTTTAATTTATTGTATATTAGTAGTCATTTTTAAGTACATCCTAGCAATTTTTTCGTACACCCTTTCAAGCCAAATTGCTTTCCTTACGAGTAATAATCTGGATATGGTTCATACGAAACATCCTACGGTAGCACTTGGACATTGTTCACAGACTATGTACTAAGTTTAAAATAACAAAGAATGCTTAGAGAAATTGTACATTACCAAACTTTAAAACATTCAAACTCAATTTGATTTTTCCTGAATCCAAATTGAATATCAGAATTCATATAAACATTATGAATGCTTCACGATTCTCCAATATATGAGGTTTTAATATTTCTATTCATTGACTAATTAATTTCAAATTTCGAAATATTTTCACCTGAGATTCTATCATGCAAAATTTTAATTTCAGTGACTAAGGTGGACCTTGCCTCAAAAGCATTGAAGATTATTTCATCTGGGAAAAAGCATTTTGATGTGGTTATCGCAGATATTAACTCGGATATAGATGGGTTTCACTTCTGCAAGCAAGTAGTGGAGCATGGAATTCTAGTTCTTTGTAAGTAATCATGATCATCATTTCTAATTTACGACTATACTACGCAAAAATTGAATTTCTTGATGCAAATTTTTACATAATGAACTAACTCAATGGTAATTATATTTCATGTGCTTCTCGAATTGAAGTAACATCTGCAAATGAAGCAACCAATCTAGCAACAAAAGCAATGGAAAATGGAGCCTTTCTTTTTATGAAGAAACCCTTGGATGAGCATATCATGAAGTACTTATGGCAATTTGTGATGAAGGAAAAACTTAGAAGTAGTGGACAAGAAGAAGGTAGAGGTCTGGAGGTTGCTGCAAAAATAATCAAAAATGGTAGGGGTAAAGGGATTATCATTAAAGAATGCACAGGAAAGAACTACATTGCTGACGTGGAGAAAAATACAAATGGAGTCGCAAGAAGAATAATTGATGAAAGGAAGGTTCCAAAAAGGACTCACAGGAAGAGAAAGCATCCTGAAAAATTAATAATAGACCTTCCTCCAAAGAAGGCTTCAGCTGCACAATCATATTCCATTGTCAACTACAGTAGGAAAAAGGTCTGCACTGAATGGACCAAGGAGCTTCATGAAAAATTCATGGATGCAGTCAAACAACTTGGTGAAGGAAGTATGTACTTTTTTTTTTTTTTTTTGAAACTAAGTATGTGCTTAAGTAGTTGAGTAAATGGTGATTTTAGATAGATGTGATGTTATGCTCAGTTTTCCATTACTTTGGAGTAACTAATACTATCTAACTTATTATGGCTTTCTGTTCTAAACTATCTCTATGTTTTTGTGACACTCAATAAAGTAATTCAGTTTTTCTTGCTGGAATATGTCTTAGAATGTTATCCCAAGGAGATTATGGAAATAATGAATGTACCTGGTCTTACAAGGATGCAAGTCGCTAGTCATCTCCAGGTCAGTATCTCACTTTGTTCGTTACCAAGAAGGAGAGTGTAAACTATAAACAAATGGTTCATATATATAACCCACATTATGTGATAGTTATATTCATTCTAGTAGAATAACTTAACCATGATCAAGCTTCTCATAATCTCAATGGCGGATTAATGGTGAGGCCACGGGGGCCTTGGCGCGCTGGTCCACTGTAAAACCAATTGTATAATATTTAAACTTTAATTTACTAGTTTTAGATTAATTTGGCTTTTTTTTTTCTTTGTTTCTTCTAGTTTTGTTTTTGGGCAAATAAGAATATTCCTAATCCAACGTGATATCATATTGAGTGAATTACTTAAAATCAAAATAAATCTCTTTCTAATTATAATGATCCTAAACTCTATTGTATATTAATATAAATATTATATCTAGATTATAACGCTTGACCATTGACAAAATTTTCCTGATACGGTACCTAATATTGAAAATTTTTTCTGATATGGTGCCTAATATTTTATTTTCTTTATTTATTTTGCTTGTATAACCCTTACTATTGAGAAACTTATCTTTAAGCACAATGGAAATGTTATTTGATTAATCTAGAAAAAAAAACTTGCCTTATTAGTTTTATGGAGAGGAAAGAAGTAAAATTTAATATGTACATGACATCAAAGTATAGTTAAAACAAAAAATGATATTTAGAGACAATAAATAGTAAAATGAAATATTGATCGATGTGTCTCACATGTAGTTACAATATTAAATTTAGTTAGTGGGTAATTAGCTATTGGAATTAAAAATTAGTAATTTTATTTTTTTCATTAGCTATTATTAAATTTCACAATGATTTTTCACACACTGTATCATTGCTCAAAAGAACTAAAACCCAATGCTGAATATATAATAATTAGAAATAACGGTACATTATTTCAACATTGTATTTTGGCCGAACGCATTTTTTGTTTCAGACCAGTAACTGCAAAATCTTATCATGAGAATTAACATTTATGGGTTCTGTTTTTGTCTAGAAATGCCGCCATGACAACTGGAGAGCCCCGGAGGAGCGAAGGTACCGCTCGCGCACGCGACTTTCAGCTGACAGCAATGGAAAAGAGAGGGAGAAGATAAGGGTTTTTGGAAGTATGCCTCGTAGAGAAGAGGACAAGCCAAATTCTGTAAGCACTCCTCTTCAGACCAGTTCCCCTTCTTCTAGCACTACAAACACTACTACAATTGCTAGCTACCATGAACATGGAGAATGTTCAAGCCTGCCAAAGGAATCGAAGGATACAACACCCACCTCGGATCATAGAATGGCAAATTTCACTTGCCTAAGATACGATGACGACGACGAACTGTTCCCGAGTTTGGAAACTTTGAGTATTGATGAAATAAGAGCTCTTATGTGGGACGTTGATGCACCGGTTGGACTGTGGGATGAAAAAGTTCCGTTTCCGGTGCGCCCGTCTCCGGCTGCGACAACTATGTCTACATTTGTTGGGCCTCCTGCTCCTCCACCCGTAGTACAACTGGACCTTAACCAACGTGTGCCAACTCCTCGTGAGGTGGCATCTGAACCCGTAAACGAAATTGATCAATTTTTTGCTAAAGACAGCCCAGACTTTTTTATGGCCGCATCTGAGATCAATAATGATAGCCAAGGTGAAAACTTCCCAAATGATATAAGCCCTTAAATCCTTAACCAGAAGGTAAGTCTTCTCAGCTTACTTGCTTGACTAGTATGAATATGGGTATGACATTATTTGATTTATGATGCATTCTATGGCAGTTTATGGATGAAGAGCATTTGGAAAGCAGAAACCAAGCAGATAATAAAAAAGGATGGCTTTGCTGATTGCTTCAGGATTCAGGACTGGAGGGCTTTGTATTGTACCTTGATAAATGTAATTTACCTTTTCGTGGAATTTTAAAGCTTGTATGTACTGCTGGTACCTTAAATTTATGTTGTTAAACTCAAATCAAACTCATGATTTTGTGGGATTTTCTATTTGGATGTTGTTAATGTTTCATTCGCATGTTAGTAGTTGTATTGTGGACTAATTCAACAAACCAGTATTTGCGAAAAGGGAAATGCTTTGGCGGAAAAATTTTTTTGGAAGTGCCTAGTTGGATAAATGTCTCTATATAATTTAAATTTTCACTTTTAATAGAATTTCAACTAAAATATTAATTCATATTCAATAATTATTTTATGATACAGAGAGTATTTTGTTTACAACGTGAATTTTTAAGTAGTAAGTTTCAACAAGTCCTGATGAAAAAAGGAAATTTAAAAGGTAATAAAATATTATTTCATGTAGACTGAATTGGATATGCAATTTGTCCTTCATATTAGGTAAAGTGAGCAACTTTGTCCTCTATGTCAACATTTGGGTGAAACTGAAATTTTGTAACCCTTATTTTCGTCCCGGGTCACTATTTTTGTACTTTGACTTGATTTGGACAGATAGATATTTTTAAAATGAAAAATCTATTTAATTTCTACAAAAAAAAAATCTTGGATTAAATAACAATATAAAAATTTAAATAACATGAAATTAACAATATAGTTTAATTTTTGTAAAAAATATTCATTATTATAAAAGTAATAAAAGATTAATTGTTTTAAATTCTATATTCCATTTTTCCCAGCTTTTTTCAATAAATTTAAATAAACTATTATTTAGTATCTACCCACAATAAATTCTTCACAATATAGTTTTCTCTTTACCACAGTTATATATGTGTGTGTGCCTGTGTGTGTGTGCATATAATATGTTAATTCTTGCTTCGATTGGATATTCTCGATCTCCAAAGAGCCCATCCTCAAACAGTAAATTGAGAATTTTGCTCTTGTTTTTTAAATTGTTTTTCACCATTCTTCAATTATTCGCAATTTCCGGTTGAACTTCCTTTTGGTCAACCTTATACAAAAGTCCAGAGATAACTTGTTTTGCTCATTCAGATATCTCCAAGTCAACCCGAACCTAAAACTTGCAAAATTTAACCTGAAAAGATTCCCAAATAGTAACATACGACATGAATATTTTAAATTGAAAACCCATGAACATACCTTCCTTTGATGGTAACAAGTTGACTCCTTGAAATCTCCTCATGAATTAATGACGCGCACATCGGGCGAGTTTTCTTCCAGCATGTTTAGTTGTCGGTTAGATGGACTGAGGTGTGACGTCATTAGGGTGTGATGTCATAGTTTAGATTAGGACTCCGTTAGATGGACTGAGGTGAGATTATGATTTACGTGAATTTTTCAAGGTTTTACTGGGGATAAATATTATGTAGGATAAAAGTTACAAGTGATATATATAACCAGGGTTTTAGAAAAATGCGAAAAATTAAAAAAGAAAAAAATTGAATTCGAATTCTGAATTTTTGCTTTAAAAGAGTAATTTTTTAATTAATTTATTATAATAGTTTTAAGTTTTAAAATATTTTTTAATATTGCTGAAATTTTAAAACTTAATTATATATAATTGGAATTTTTGAAAAATAAATATCGTTCATTTCACAAATACCGGATTGACTTCAGGTCAAACGCCCAAATCTGGTCAAAACCACAATAATCCTAAGGAAGTTAAAAAAATTACTCCCTCAATCCCAAGTTAAATGACGTTTTACAAGTTACACAATGTTTTAAAAAAAACTTTTGTTATAAAAAAAAAGTTCCCCCAGTGGACTCCACTTAAATGTGGATAAAACCTTTCTTACAACTTCTGGTGGTAATCGAACTCTGTTATATTAATAGGACGGACAACAACCTAACCAATAGACTGTTATTCAAATCCCAAGCACTTAAATAAGGTAGATAAGTTACTAAAATATCGTCAATTATCCCCATTAAAACAAATTCTTGCTAATAATATAATTTATTTTGTTGGTAATTTTGAAAATTTAAGATAAAAAGTATATTGAAATAAAAAAAAAACGAGACTTATTTTGAAATTTTTTCACTTTGCTAAAACGACGCTTATTTGGAAATGGAGGGAGTACTAATGAGAATGTAGATAACAGTTTGAGCTAAATGTTAATACAATGGACAATTTTATTCGATTACCCTAGATGAAAAAAAAAAAAAAAGGATTCAGTGTTCTTCTAAGGCAAATCGTTTTAAAATTCATCAAGAATTCAAGGTAGTGTTGTTTTGTAGCTTAAGATTGTACCAGAGGTCATAGCTTTCCCCATAGCTGTTACGCTTGCTTTCTTTTAAGGGCAATTATTAACATAAAAATGAAGGATTAAAGGGTAGGTTGAAAGAGAGCTTGATTATATGAAGCTCTTAAAATTAAAATCACCGGTTGAGTGTAGGTAGTTCAACATACAACCTAAAACAACCTTTGGGTCATTTAGTAAATCTACATTTTTCCACATGGATTATACTCCCTCCAGTCCTTGTTAGAAGGCATTTTTTATTTGTTCCAAATTTTATTTATTATGTTCTTCTTGAATATAAAATAAAACCTTAAAAATATATTTTTACATTTATTTTGTTATATATTTTCACATTTATTATGTACACAATAATATGAAAAAAAAGTTTTAAAGTTTTATTTTCAATAGAAATAAAAATATTAACTAAAAATTAAGAAAAATCAAAATATCTTATAATAATGACCGGATGAATGAGCTATTGCCCCTGAACACTGTACTTGGGGAATAATATGGAATTATTTTTGAAATGAAAAAATTAAATTTGTCGTAGAAACATTAATCAAACATCAAATTCTATCAGTTTTTTGGTAGTGATAAAAAGAAAAACTTCCATTTTTGTCGATTTAAACTTGCTTAAAAATATAATATTAAAATAATAAATAATGTAAACAGAAATATCAAACAGGCAATTGTTACCGCAGTGATAATTGCAAATCAACATCAAGTTAAAAGATTAAAATTTGAGCAAAATAATCCGGGGTCACAACAAAGAGTAGGCGAAAAATAAAACCACTCCTTTAGTTAAAAGGTAAAGCTACATTTGTATAAGAGTTTTAAAAAGATTTTTAAGCTTAAAAAGTCTGTTTAGAGTTTAAAATGTGTTTCTACAAAATAATTAAAGTCTTTTCTAAACATCAATTTGAAAAAAAGAAGGTTTGAAACAAACTTTTTAGAAAATAGGTAGGGAGGTACTTTTCAATTTTTTGAAACAGGGTTTTTTTTTCTCAGTTCGCGGGTCGGAATCCGGGTCAAAACCAGATTATGAAAAAACGGGTGATGCATATAAGGGAAAAGTACGTCATTCGCTCACTCTTGCCCTAGATCCGCCACCCCCTTTTCTCACTCTCTCTCCTTCAGCCGTGCGGCAACCCGGCAACGACGACGGCGACGGTGACGGCGGGGACTGCATAACTCCCCCTGGCGGCGACGGAGAAGTAAAAAGCGACACCTTGTGCTGGTAACCTTTCTTATTCCCGTTTTTTTTTTATTAGATTAGGTTTAACTTTCAATCACTTCTAATACTTGGATTTACACACAAATCCTTGTTATTTCAGTAGGGATTTGTGTAAATTTTTTCATGGGTTTCATTTATTGTATCATATTCGAAGAGGGTTTGTTTCCAGTTGCCATGGAAACCATTTTTTCAACAGAAGTCTCAGTGGGTTTTTTTTTTTCCGGGTTTCTGTATTTGTGTTAGGATTTGTGTGGTATTTAGTGCTTTCTTCTGCTTCGAGTGATGTTTAAGAATGTGGGTTCAATTGCTTCTTGAATTTCATCTTATTTAGTGGGTTTATGTATCCCCTGTATTCTTCTCTCGTTTTTTTCATTCTAAATGTGAACTATTGGCTGAAAGGGAGCCTCAACCCCCGGGTTAGCAGTACGAGTTGTTGTCATGTATCATTTACCAAGTTTCAGAACAACTTGTAGATCTAAGTGAAGCTTTAGTGATCCAAACCTTCTGTGCCCTCATTAGTTAAGAGTTCTTGAGTGTAGACATCATTGTAAATATTTGTGTTGCCAGTGATTGATTATGCTATTTGCAACCTCTAATACCATACTGATTATGGCTACTTGTTTGCAGAAATTGAAGACACGTGTCATAAATAAGGATGTTAACCCCGAGTGGAATGAAGATTTGACTCTTTCAGTGTCTGATCCCAGTCATCCTATCAAGCTGGTAAGTTTTGTTCAATCAATTTTGAGCATAAAACAAAAAACAAAAAAGCAGAGGAGAGGTTATACTTTTACCTTGAAGTTAGCAACTTCTGTCCTCTTCTGTCCTCTAGGTTCTGACATGATACATCTCTTGGCTGGGTTTTGTGGTTTTGATCCTTGTTTCATCATTCCAGGCTTTTATGCACCTTGTTCACACGATAAAGTTTCAAATCACCTGACTCTTCTTGCTGAGTCATTACCTTCTCAAGTACCTGTGGATTCATCCGTACTTGCATTGAACAATGGAAATAGGAATAGATGTCCTGTCCCTGGCATACTTTACAGTACAAATACATTGGAGGACTTCAAAAATATTGACAGACAAAGCTTGCTACAGGCTGAAGCTAAGAAGTTAGTTTTATTTGGTGAAACTTGTAACTATCTATTGATTCCGAGTGTGGAAAATTTACTGCTCATTTCGAACTGCTTGAGCACACCAAAATTTAATGGATAAAATAGTTGTGGTAGGAAAAAAACTTATACTTTCCAATTTTTATCAGATATGGGATGATATTCACTCTGGTAAAGTAGAGGAGAACAACTCTTTGCTTTTGAGGTTTATGGTTATATCATTTGCGGAGCTGAAGATTGGCGTTTCAGTTATTTGTTTGCTTTCCCCACTCTGGTTCTTGATCCTCCGGCAATGTTGGTCCGTTTGAAGCCAGCTTCACCATGCCTTAGCTCAGAACAGGTTATATAAGATTTCCAACCACCTCCTATCCTCTAGTTCTACCAACTTGCATGCTTTAAAGTTGTTATATTTTTTAAAGCTCTTGTTCTCAAACAGTCTGAGTCTCTGTCTAAAGCATGTAATGAGTGGCGTACTCCGAGCTCGACTACAGGTGTGGCTTCTCTCAATACTCCCTTTCTTTTCATGTCTATAATATGTATAGTATCTGAGCTTGGATACACTACTAATTCAGTTATATGCAGGTCTGCCATTCTTTCTTGTATGTATTCCTTCAAACTCTATCGTCAGCATTAGACAACTAGCGGATTGGGAAGCCTGCCAGCGTGATTGTGATAAGGTTTGTTCAGTTGCCTATATGTCCAAATTTCTGATATTGAACGAGCATAATTTTTCTTTCCTTTTTTTTCGAATAAATATTTTGAAAAAATGTTTTCTGCACATCTCAAATCTATAGTTAACTTGTTTGTTTTATCATGGTTATTTGCATTATTTCAGCATAGTGTGATGAAGTTGCCTTTGGTAGTAATATGACAGGATTGTTGTTTCATTTAGTTTTAATGTGGCCACTTCTTGCAGGTTTTGTTTGGTTTTTATGATCCTTGTCACCTACCCAATAATCCTGGCTGGCCACCCCGAAATTATCTTGCATATATTTGTACAAGATGGGGGCTTGAGAAGATTGATTTTCTGTGCTACCGTGAGAGGCGTGGTGTTATGGATTTAGCGTTGTCTCTCATCGGTGAAGTAGTAGTATCTGTTTCACAAGGTAGAACAGAAGCTATGTTTTCCTAACAATGATAAGGTTTCTTTTTCAACTTTCCACATATTCTGCCTTCTGGAATTGCTTTATTTATGAACCATGTTGGTGTAGGATGGAAATCTCGTGAACATCTGCCGAATGTTTTGGGATGGGAACAGTATCACGGGAAGACTAGACAGTCTGTCAGCCTTGCTAAGTCCTTGGATCCAAAAAGGTAAGGTGTAGAGTTGCTTCTTAGTAAGAAAATGTAGATGTCTGTTTAACTTCTAAAAATTCGGGTGTTTTGGGGGTATGATTTTCAGTTTAGCTGTATCTGTTGCGGATTTGAACTTAAAGCTTATGAAATGGCGTGCCCTGCCCTCCCTGAACCTTAGTAGGATATCTTCTACTCGATGTCTTCTGCTAGGAGCTGGTACACTTGGATGTCAAGTTGCTTGGATGCTTATGGTAAGTGCTTTCTTAGAAAGAATTTCTTATAGAAGTTTATGATTGTTCAATAATGATAAAATTCTATGAATTTCATTTCCTTACATAAAGCCCATCCTTTCCACAGGCATGGGGTGTCCGTAAAATTACAATGGTCGATAGTGGGAGGGTTGCCATGTCAAATCCAATCAGGCAGTCCCTTTACACATTTGATGACTCCATGAATGGTGGTACATTTAAGGCCAATGCAGCAGTTCAAAGCCTAGAGCATATTTTCCATGCAGTGGTGATTATTTGTTGATAATAATGACCTAGTCAGTTCCAAGTTGATCTATTTGACTCAAAGAATATTTTTCCCCCTTCCTTTCAGGAAGCAGAAGGCATTGTCATGGCTATTCCAATGCCAGGGCATCCAGTGACTATTCAAGAGGAGCAAAATGTACTGAAGGATTGCAAACAGCTGCAGAAATTAGTGGAACGTCATGATGCAATTTTCTTATTAAGGGATACAAGGGAAAGTCGGTGGCTACCTACCCTACTTTGTTCTAGTGCAAATAAGGTGTTATTTTTTTTTTTTTTTGGAGTTAGATGTTTAAAAATCTCTCGATAACAATATTTCAAATTTATTATGCATTCGATAAATTAGAACGATTTTAATATTATGCTTTAATTTAGTCATATAATGGTTTTAAAATGAAACAAAAATGCAATAATAATATCAAAATTTGTGTAAGTATTTTCTTTTATTACAAAAAGAAAAGAAAGGTGCAATAATTATTTTTTGACAAAAAGTGTTTTTGGAAAAGGTCTAATCCAAATGAATTTTTAATATTTTTAACTACAAAAAGCTTTTTGTTAAATTTTTGTCCAAATGGATTATTTTTCAAAAAGTCTTTTTGAAATTTTGCTTCAATAAGACTTATTTGAAAAGCTTTTCAAAACACTTGTCCAAATGGAGCCTAAAGTAAAATGTTTTTGGACATTACCAACTTTTTGGACACTCTTTCTTAGTGTCATGAGCCGGCAGGACCGCAGGAGTCCCGCAGATAAGGACTTACAACCAACTTTCCGATAAACTGGACATTACAAAAGAGATAAATCCATGTGGGAAGCCAAAACTTTTTAGAACGGCTCTCAAGAAGTCCCAGGAATCGACAGAATATTATGTTCAAATTATTCCCTTCTGTTTTGTCGTTCAAGAATTGACACAAGTTGTGTGTGACAAGAATATTATCTGTAATGGCCCTCCCAGATAAGAAAGCCAAACAGCTTTTCTGAAATTAACAAATTCAGCTTCAGTTTAATCCTATGAGTAAGGATTTTTGTGAAAACTTTGTTGGTGAAGTTACACAGGCTAATTCGCCTAAATTCTGAAAATGTTCTCACTGAACTCTTCTTGAGATTAAGGTGATAAGGGTACTTCCAATAGCTCGAGGGATGGGAATTCCATCCAAGAAGTCTTGACAAGCTAAAAGAAGATATTGTGAGAAAATGCTTCAACAACGCGGTAAAATTCTCCTCCAAAACCGTCGGACCCTGGCACACTACATCTCGAACTTCCTCTATACATATTGGTCTCAGTATGTCAGTTCTGTCCTCAACAGACAGTACACAAGGAATGTGTTGCAGCAAAACCTGTTGCGCCTCTTCCTTTTGCACTTGTGATTCCTCAGTTCATAAATTTTTTAAAAACTCGGCAGCATGACTTTCAATTTGAAAAGTTTATTCCAAAAGCTTTTTGACTTGCTGATCTTATGCACTATTTCAGAGAGACAGTATAACACTAGTGCAGATTTGGCAAAAAGGAAGGACTATCAATGGAGATATTAAGCTGAATTGCGTGAAATTTCCTTCATTTTGCAGCAATCACAATACAAAGTAACTCAAAAAAAAAAAAAAAAAGAGAAAAAAGTGACTCTTGTCTATCGTGAGGCAAACGTTGTTGCGGATAAATTAGCTAGACAAGGGTTATCGGGAAAACGATGGTCTATAATAATTGCTGCTCTCTTCCTACACCTGTAAAAGGGGCATTGTATCTTAAGAAAAGATCATTCCCCTATATCAGAATTAGATAGGCAACATGATTATGTAATTCTCTTTTAATCTTGCACCGGAAAAAAAGAGGTAAAGTAATACGTTTTGGTTCAGATCAATCTCTATTCTCAAACACACATTTTGCGGTTGCATGCAATTTTCATGAGCAAAATTCGACAACAAATTTCTTTAGAAGAGGCAAAACAAAGAAAAGCATTTTTCAAAAGGTTGCTGTACTGTAGCTTGTAAATCCAAAATCTTATTACACCGAAACATTGAAGCCAAACACTAGGAAAAACTTCGTATAGTTGAAATCTGTTGGGATTATTGGGCTCCCAACGTATATGGAAAAAGGCCCAATAACGAAAATATTTTGGCCCACTTTTGACCACTTAAAGGGGAAAGATTTGCAGCTGGAAACTGCAAAGAAGTGAGAGTGAGAGAGAGAGAAGTGTTTGACTGCAAAAACGGGCAGCAAAGGGAAGGAATTTACAACAAAGGGTTTACTGTAGTTGGTTCTGATTTCTTGTCGATTGGAGAGGCAAACGGAGTCGGATTGCTCTGAAATTTTTACAGGAGTTAGAAGGCTCATCACTCTTCGTCTATGCAGAAGGGTTTTGGTTTTTGAGGTCCAGGTTGGGAGTTATAGATTTCTGAAAGTTGCTGCTGTTTAGTTGATCTTTTGATCTTGTACTGATATTCTAGTGCCTTTTGTAGCTTGGTTTAGCTTGGTTAAGGACTAGATATCTTTGTTGTATTGCTAGAGGCCTTTGTACTCAACTCTCATTTGGTGATAGTGAATTGATAGGCCTTTTGGTCTTGTAGTTTTTTACTCCTTCACATCGAAGGGGGTTTTCCACGTAAATCTTTGTGTTCTTGTGTGGTTTTGCTTTGATTGTTGTTTCGTTGTTGCAATACTTCCATTTGGTTTTGGTATTTTATGCTCCTAGGGTGTCCTTGCAAATCGAAGAGGTGTTTGGTTCTTCCGCTGTAATTTAGCTAGCCGGATTTATGGATACAGCTAGCGTGTTGCTACGGTAACCATTCCGTTTGTGATTGAGCTAGCTGGTTTTCGGGATATAGCTAGCTTGTTGTGCTGTAAGTATTTTGTTTGTGAAATAGTTAGCCGGATTGTGGGATATACCTAGCTAGTCTGCTGCCGTAATCGTTCTATTTTTTAGTTAGCTAGCTGCTTCCAATTTTAGGTAGCTGGTTTCTCTGATATAGGTAGCCGGTTTCACTTTGAGATAGCTGGTTTGCCAAAAAGAGCTAGCTGTTTTCAGCTAGTCAGGTGTGTCCTCCCCAGCAGAGTGGTATCAAAGCCACGGTTGGTGGCATTGATTTGCTGAGATTATGGAGATAAGTGCCATGGATGTTACTACAAGTAAAATGGTGTCATTGACTGGGATGAACTACCATTCGTGGAAGGGAAAAATGCAAGATTTGCTGTTTCTGAAGAGTATGCATCTACCTGTGTTTGGTTCGGGTAAGCCAGAATCGAAGAGTGATGAAGAATGGAAGTCTGAGCACTAGCAAGTGTGTGGCTTCATCAAAATATGGATGGATGACAATGTAAGTAATCTTGTTGCAAACAAGACAATGCAAAGGAGCTCTGGTCGACACTTGAGAAGATGTATGCTCTTGTCTAATGTTGGGGCTACCTTTAAGGATGGGATGGTTTATGGTTGCTGAATACTTTGCCAGACTCTAGGGAGACTTTAAGGGTCTCACATACAAATTCTGCTCCTGAAAAGAAAATGTCTTTTGATTATGCCAAAAGTCGAATTCTCAATGAGGAGATTAGAAGAAGAACTCAGGGGGTGTCATGTCATACTGAGGGCATCGCAACAGGAAAAAGAGTAGAAGCTAGTCCAAAGGAAAACACAAGAATGTAGAGTGATTTTATTGTAAAAAGCCTGGTCATATCAAGAGAGATTGTTTGATATGGAAGAGTTAGAATGGAGCAGGGAGTAGCAAGTCGGAGAAGGCAGAAGAAAGTACTTCTAGTCGTGTTGCCACTACTACCAGTGATGATCTTATCATTGTTTATGATGACTGTGATATTAATTTGGTTGCTTCTGATACCACTTGGGTTGGTGATTCAGGGGCTGCAGTCCATGTTACCTCTAGAAGGGAGTTTTTCAGCACTTATACTGCAGGTGACTTTGGTCATTTGAGAATGGGTAACAATGATCTTGCCAAGGTTGTTGGCATTGGAAATGTTTGTGTGAAGATGAATAATGGCTCCACAGTCCTACTTAAGGATGTAAAGCATGCTCCAAATGTTCGGTTGAATTGATCTCCATTGGAAGACTTGATGAGGATGGTTTTGTTGGTGGAATATGAAAAATCAGCAAGGGGTCCATGATTTCGGCTAAAGGTACAAAATTGAAGGAAAACTTGTATGTGTTGCCAGCTTCAATTTTGGTTGACTCAGTTAATGTGGTGGATAAGTCATGTTCACCAGAATTGTGGCATAGAAGATTGAGTATATTAGTGCCTAGGGACTTCATATATTGGTGAGGAAGAATGTCCTCCCTGGAACTAGGGATTCTAGCTTTGATAAATGCTCAAATTATCTTGAAGGGAAGTAGACTAAAGTATCCTTCAAGAATCATCCTCCTCATAGGCAGCCAAATTTGTTGGATTTGGTGCATTCAGATGTTTGTGGTCCTTTGAAGGAGAAAACACTTGGGGGTGCATCTTACTTTGTGACTTTCACTGATGATCATTCCAAGAAGCCTTGGGTCTATGCCTTGAAGACCAAAGATCAAGTGGTGGAGAAATTCAAGGAATTTCAAGCCTTAGTTGAGAGACAGACTGGAAGAAAGTTGAAGTGCATCCGGACATATAATGGTGGTGAATACCGTGGACCATTTTAGTAATTTTGCAGGATACAGGGGATCAGACACTAGAAAACATTACCCAAGACGCCTCAGTTGAATGGCTTGGTAGAGAGAATGAATAGGACATTGCCGGATCGTGTTCAATGCATGTTGGTGGAGTCTAAGCTCCCTCAATCATTTTGGGGTAAGGCTTTATATACAGCTGCTTATGTGATCAATTTGACTCCCACTATTGCATTGCAAGGTGATGTACAAGAAAATGTGTGGACTGGTAAGAACACCTCTTCTGATCATTAGAGGGTGTTTAGTTGCAAAGCTTATGTTCATGTTCCTAGGGATGAGAGGTCCACGTTAGATGGCAAGGCAAGGCAGTGCATCTTCATTGGCTATGGTCAAGATGAGTTTGTTTACAAGTTATATGATCTAGTTGAGAAGGAGGTCATACGCAGCCGTGATGTTGTGTTTTGTGAAGACCAAACCGTTGATGACATTATGAAGACACAAATTTCAGATTCTCATGTTGATGATGACCTCAAAGATCCTGATCCAGATTTTACACCACAGGAGCCTACTACAGTTGGAGGTTCTACCAATGAAAATAAGCAGCATGATGATTTTGCTGATGGTCAGGAAATAGATAACTTGCATAATCCAGGAAGTGATGATCTA